AAAAAAAAAAAATTGTCAAAATTCTATCAAACTGAGACATTGGAGGCACCTCTTTTTTCTACTACTTTACTTGATTAAAATTTAGTGACTTTATATTTGACAAAAGGAGCTCTGGTAGCTCTGTAGGAGAAACACTGGACTCTAACTGCAAGGTTGTAATTCAAACCCAACAACTGTTTCTTGGTAGAAAAATGAGGCTCTCAGTTCTTATGAAGGTTTATAGACTCAGGCACCCTATACAAGGTTGTTATGAGTCAGAATCAACTTGATGGCAAGTAGTTCCATTTTTGGTTTTAAGATATTTGGCAGAATATTTAGAATATATTTTACTACCACTTTTTATTTCTTATAGCTCTCCAATGGAATTCCACAAAAAGCAGCATGTATACATATAAATGTTGTTGTTGTTAAGTGCTGTTCAGTCAGTTCTGATTCATAGCTTAATGCATATAGATAAATGTATATAGATGTACATACCTATATATATTTATCTATCTACATTTATAAATGTATATATTGATATACAGCTATCGAGATGCATATAGATGTATATATCTACTATATACATTTCTCTCTCTTTCTTTCTCTCTCTATCTCTCTAGATGTATATACCAATATCTATCTATCTATCTATCTATCTATCTATCTATCTATCTATCTATCTTTCTAGGGAGTCCTGGCATGGCATTGTAGGATAAGCACTAGACTTCTAACCATAAAGTCAGCTGTTCAAACTCACCAGCTGCTCTTCAGAAACCCTGTACAGGGTTGCTTTGAGTCGGAACCGACTCCATGGCACTTAACAACAACAGCAAGATGTATATGTATACATAGTTACATATATGCATGCACATGTTTTTGCTTTGTGTACAAAACCAAGTAAAATTTTGAAAGAAAAATATATATTAGAGTCTTGCAGTGTTAAGATCTTGTAACAACTACATCAGAATCATGTGACTGGCTTATGCAATATCAGTTTACTCTGACTAACTCCAAATCTTGTGAGTCAAACTGTTAGTCAGTGAATCTGAAATTTTAGCAAAGTCATAAGAGATTTTCAATGCACATTAAAATTTAGGAACCACTGGCATGAACATTTATAAGAAAAGAAACAGATAAAAAAGTAACATGATCCTAAGGTACTTTTTAGATTGTCTAATTTCTCTCTTATTGTAATCTTTCACCATATTTATTCAATATACATACTGAACACATACATAGTCTGAGAAGCTAGATTATATGAAGAAAAATGTGGCATCAGATTGGAGGAAGATTCATTTACAACATGCATTGTGCAGATGACACAACTTTGTTTGTTGAAAGTGAAGAGGACTTAAAATATTTACTAATGAAGATCAAAGATCACAACCTTTGGTATAGGTTGCACCTCAATGTGATGAAAACAAAAGTCCTCACCACTGCACCAATAAACAACATCCATATCAATGGAGAAAAGATTAAAGTTGACAAGGACTTTATTTTGCTCATATCATCAGCAATCATGGAAACAGCAGTCAAGAAATAAAATGATGTATTGCATTAGGCAAATCTGCCACACAAGACCTCTTTAAAGTGTTCAAGAACAAGGATGTCAGTTTGAAGACTAAGGTACACCTGACCCAAGACATGGTATTTTCAATAACCTCATATGCATGTGAAAGTTGGGCAGTGAATAAGGAAAACCACAGAAGAATTGATGCATTTGAGTTATGGTGTTGGAGGAGAATATTAAAAGTAGCATGAAGTGCTAAAATGAACAAACCAAAATGTGTTGGGAGAAGTACAGCCAGAATGCTCCTTGGAAACCAGGATGGCCAGATTTCATCTCTCATACTTTGGACATATTATCAGGAGGTACCAATCCCTGGAGAAGGATATCTTGTTTGGTAAAGTGGAGGGTGAGTGAAAAAGAGAAAGATTGCCAATGAGATAGGTTGGCATAATGGCAGCAATAATGGGCTTATTTGTAGGAACAATTGTGAAGTTGGCCCAGAACCATGCAGTGATTCATTCTATTGTGCATAGAGTCGCTATGAGTTGGTACCGACTTGATGGCATCTAACAACAACAGCAACAACAACGGTCTGTCTTGGGATTCCCCACTTTAAGAATGTCATAATGGGTCATAAATAAAAGATCCAGAATGGGGAGTGAAGTAGAGGATTAAAATCCACGAGTTACAATGAAAAGTTTAACAAATTGAAGGAGTGGAACTTGAAAACCTGCCTTTAAATGTCTGAAGGACTGATGAATAAAGAGGTTGTGGATTTAGCAGGCAGTGTTGTCCTCAGAATGTGAAAAAAGATCAAAATATCAGAGCTATAGGGAGCTAAGTTTGGGCACCAATAGAGGAGACTTGGTAATTACTGGATCTCATCTACCTAGAATGTCTATATTGTAATGAGGCATCTTCTTGCTCTGGAGTCTACATAGTGGTGCTGACAACTCATCTTTGAGAGGTATAGGAGATTATGAAGGAGGTGGTTTAGGAGACATAAACTCTAATACCCTTTCCAGCCCTGATTATGCATTGACAAGTTGACTGTTGACCCTTCTATTTCAGTCAAAGAGAAGCAAATGAAAAAAATAAGAATTCTGGCTTCAGATCAAATGGAACTGAGTCAACATCAGGAAAGGTGAGTTATTTACTAGGTTTTGTCAAGAATGGCATTTTTGTTATTCAATGCTTGTCCATCAAAGATATGGACAGAGGATGTCAGTGTGTCCAATGAAGGGTTTGCCCTTAGATGACCAAAAGCCACGAGTAATATGAATTAATAATAGAGTGGCATGATTGGTTTGTATTTGACAAAAAAGTGGGTGGTTCAAATTCACCTGAAAGTGCCACGGAAGATAGGTCTGACAATCTACTTTTATAACATTGTAGCCACTAAACACTTTATGGAGCACTTATACTCTGACAAACATTGAGTTGTCATGGGTTGGAAATGACTTGACAGCATTGACTTTTAGTGGCTTCCTTGAGTGTAGAAACCTAATACCTAATGGAAATGTCATAGTCTCACACAAAGCACATTTATAAATTATAGTTTATATAAATCTTCCAACAGCCCGATGGAATAAGACACGTGCCCTTTCCATCTTCAAAGCCAACAATGACTCATCAATTATTTGTCATTCTATATTGTCTGCAACTGACTTTTCTGCCTCCCTCTTTTACCTACAAGGCTCTTGTTCACAATGAGTTCATTTATATAATGCAAAATAATCACATCTCAAAGCCAACTGACTAGCAACTTTAATTTCATCTTGAAATTTAATTCCTTCTTGCCATATAAGGTGATATGTTCACAGGGTTCAGGGATGGAATGTGAGCATTTTCAGGGGCCATGATTCTGCCTACAGCAAGTTTATGTAACTGCCACGTTGTTTGTTTTTAAGTCTCAAATGGAAATCTTCAAAATCTCAAATTCAATAAAATACTATATGAAAATATCATTTCTAATGCATTGTTCACTTCTGTTCAGGATACTTGTAATGAATTTAGAGGTCAAATGAAAAATGGACAACTTATCTGTACTCGGGAAAGTGACCCTGTTCGCGGTCCAGATGGCAAGACACATGGCAATAAGTGTGCTATGTGTAAAGAAAAACTGTGAGTATTTTTTTTAAATGGATATTTAAAGTAATTTATCGGTTTTGGTGGTGTTCAAAATATACACGCTAGACCAAGCACCAATTCAGCAATTTCTACACGTCTAATTTCAATGAAGGGCGCTCTGGTAGTGTAGTGGTTACGAATCGGGCAGCTAATCTCACGGTCAGCAGTTTGAAACTTCCAGCGGTTCCATGGGAGAAATATGAGGCTTTATGCTCCCATAAAGATTTACAGCCTCCAAAACCCTGTACAGGGTCACTATGAGTCAGAACTGACTCTATGGCACATAAAAACAACAACAACAATTTCAGTGATGTGATTATATTCTTTAAATTATACAACCAATCTCATCGTCTATCCCCAAGGTGTTAACATAAATACACCCATCCCTAAATTTTCTAATGTTTGAGTTTCTGTTGTCAATTTGGCACCGTATTTCTAAATTTTAAGAGTGCAATGCTTAAGGAAGATGTTTTTGATGGTTTCATGGGATATCTCAGATAACTGAGATATGCTTCTGTTCTAGCTCCTTATTTATTATGTAGTGCCTAGGGTCTTATAGGAGTCCTAGTGTGGCTCTGTGGGCTAATGCGTCACACTGCAAAGTCATTTGAACTGCAAGGTTGGTAGTTCAAGTTTACCAGCTGCTCCTTGGAAACCCTTACAGGGTTGCTATGGGTCAGAATCGACTCAACAGCTCTTAACATAAGGGAGCATGGTGGTTACATTCAATTGATAAGCACTGGACTATGAACTACAAGGTGCATGGTTCAAGCCCATCAGTTGCTCCATGGTAGAAAGATGAGGTTTTCTGCTCCCACAAAGATTTGAAAAGCTTCAGAAACCCTATACAGAACCATTATGCGTTGGAAATGACTTGAAGGCACTTAACAGCAAATATCTTGTAAAGCTTGTATGTGACCAGGCAGGATACAACAATTAGTCTCTATTCACCTGGAGCAACAGGAGACAAAAAAGTGTTTGGAATAGGAGGAGCAAATAGCACGTGTGGCTACATGTCTCTGTGAACAACTGTCTCTTTTGCCATCATACCAGAATTGGATGGTGCCTAATTATCAACTAACTGAACATTTTGAACAAAGAATCTATAGAAGTGTTATGATCCAGAGGAAGAAGATGAACAAAAGAAATTTAAATTTTCATGTACTCCAGATATTTTGAAGGCTAGATGAACCCTTGAAACAAGTGTACTCAGATAAGCTTTAAACTTTAATGGACTTTTGGGTCTTAAAAAAACACTAATCATCATTCATCAGTTTGAGGAAAGTGACAATATCTTTTAAAACAGAAAACCCTCCCATTGCCGTTGAGTCGATTTTGATTCATAGCATGTCTGCAAATAGAGTTTCTAAAGCTATAAATCTTTATGGGAGCAGAAAGCCTCATCTTTTTCCCACAGAAAGAATGGTATGAACTGCCATTCTTGTGGTTAGTAATCTTGGGCATATCCTACGGCACCACCAGAGCACAATATTTTAAAGCTGATATTGTAATAACAACTGTTTCTTGGTTTTGGTTAAAAATGTTCTATCATTTCTTCTAGGGAAAGGGAAGCAGCAGAAAAAAAGAAGAAAGATGAGGATGACAAGAGAAATACTGGTGGAAATAGCAATGAAAAAGAGGTAGTATGTATTAGACACATAAATACCTACCTTTGTTTGCTTGATTATGTGTCTGCTCTTTCATTGAATATTATTGAATGTCATCTCTGTCTCAGTCATTGGTTATAATGATAAACAAGAAAGGCATGGCAAATCTGGGAAAGCAAATACCATGCTTGCTATTTGATGTCCTAAGACAACTCTTACACAATTACCACATATTTAATGGATCAGTGACAATGGTCAAACTACCGTTGTGTTCAATTAATTTCTTTTCTGACACTTTAAATAAAAAATGATCAAGGAAACAGATGAAAAACATAAGCAAACATCACTGGAGTTCTAGATGATAAAATCTTGATCTGGCACAATTGAGGTTCAATTTGGAATGTTTACATCATATTCAAAGCTTTGCAGGAGCAACACAAAGAATATTACAGAATATAATCTCTTCTAATCCATTTTGGACTCCAATTAAAAAAACAAAGTCGTGAATTTACCCAGGAAGGCTTCCTGTTAAAGGCAACTTTTCATTACGATTTATGCTGACTCGGGGTATGAGGCGACTTCATAGTATAAACACTGGACTGCTAAATACAAGGTCTACCGTTTGAGCCCACCAGTTAATCCATGAGAAAAATATGAGGCTTTCTGCTCCCCCAAAGATTTAAAACCTCTGAAATCCTATGTAGGATCCCTATGAGTCAGAACCGACTCAGTGGCACAAAACAACAAATGCTGCCTCAACATAATGAGACATTAACTGTAGGATAAGCACTGGATTGCAAGGTCCATCTGAATCGCAAGGTTGGTGGTTCAAACTCACCAACTGCTCCTTGGAAATCCTATACAAATTCACTATGAGTCAGACCCGACTTGATAGCATTTAATAACAATTATTATTTTACAAATATCTTAGAAATTTCAGTTGTGTATCTTGGTAAATGAATAGCCTTGAAAAAGCCATTATTCCATTACTTTAAATTGTCTCTACTGACCATATATTTTAAAGTCTTAGTCAATTTTTCAGTTTCCTGATATCTACTTTAGAAATTTCAAACAAAAAATACACTACATAAATACATTTTAAAATCCTTTTCTCTCTCTCTTGTGCTTGGGGGGTAGGGGTAAAAAAAGAAATAGGGTCTTATCTACACATGCAAATTAAAATAAGCCTCCTAAGCAAGTTAAGGGAGAAAGATGAGATGTTCTACTCCCGTAAAGATTTACAGCCTGTATAGGGTCGCTATGAGTCAGAACCGACTCCATGGCACATAACAACAACAACAACAAAGCAAGTTAAGGAGCTCTGGTAGCATAGTGGTTATGAACTGGGCTGCCAATTTCACGGTCAACAGTTCAAAACTACCAGCTGTTCCACAGGAGAAAGACGAGGCTTTCTGCTCCCATAAAGATTTACAGCCTCAGAAATCTTGTACAGGGTTGCTATGAGTTGGAACCGACTCCAAAGCACATAACAACAACTAATCAAGTTGCTGTTGGTAAATCCAGTCAGTTTCAACTACTAGCAAATATCTATAAGTTTTCCGAGGCTGTAAATCTTTGCAGGAGCAAACAACCCCATCTTTCTCCAACTTACTAAGCATAAGCATCATCAAATTTAATCTTCTTCACAATCTATAAAGTGGGTGATATTGTTCCAATTTTGTATTCGAGAAAAACTCAGAAATGTTGTTGTTGTTAAATTCTGTCAACTACTGTGACTTTGTATAGCATTTCCAAGGCTGTAAATCTTGTGAAAGCCCATACACACAAATAATAAATAGAAGATCCAGAGACTGAACATTTAAACCAATAATTACAATACAGGCAGAACTATGATATCATATGCATATATACATAAAATTGTGGATTCCTTGGAAAGATAATAATTATAGAACCTTATACATATGATGCTTGTAGGTTGATCAGATATTTGATTTGAAAAAAATACTTTTTAAATGCCACAGATAAAAGTAAATGTGAGATTATTTGAGTGTAACAATTTATAGAAAGAAGAATAACTACAATTAAGATTACTAGCAGTATTTTCAAAGGTTATCTTTGCTAATGTCAGATGGATCTTGCATGAAAGCAGAGACTATCAGAAGGATGTTTATCTACATTTTACTGATTATGCAGATGCCTTTGATTGTGTGGGTCATGACAAACTAGGGACAGCATTGCAGAGAATGAGTACTCCAGAACACTTAATTGTGCTCATGAGGAACCTGTTCATAGACCAAGAGACAGTTATTTGAACAGAGTAAGGGAATACAAAATGGTTTAAATTTAGGAAAAGTGTGTACCACGGTTGTATTCTTTCACCACACTTACTCAGTCCGTCTGCTGGGCAAATAATCTGAGAATCTGGATTATATGAAGAAGAACATGGCATCAGGACTGGAGGGAGACTCATTAACAACCTGCCATATGCAGATGATATAACCTTGCTTGCTGAAAGTGAAAAGGATTTCGAATACTTAACTAATGAAGATCAAAGACCACAGCCTTTGGTATGGGTTGGGGTTGCGCCTCCATGTACAGAAAACAAAAATCCTCACCATTGGACCAATAAAAAAACAACAAGACAAATGGAGAAAAGATTGAAGCTGTCAAAGAATTCATTTTAATCAAATCAACCATCAACATTCATGGAAGCAGCAGTAAGAAATCAACTGACATATTGCACTAGGCAAATCTGTTGCAGAAGACCTCTTTAAAGTGTTGAAGAGCAAAGATGTCCGTTTGAAGATTAAGGTGCACCTGACCCAAGCCATGGTACTTTCAGTAACCACATATGCATGCAAATGTTAAACAGTGAGTATGGGAGACCGTACAACAATTGATGCATTTGAGTTATGGTGTTGGAGGAGAATATTGAAAGTATTGGAAAAAGAACAAGCCAATCTGTGTTTGAAGAAACACAGGCACAATACTCCATGGAAGCCAAGATGGCCAGACTTTGTCTTTCATACTTCAGACATATTGTCAGAAA